ATCTCTTGTCACGCAAGCGGGCAAGCCCAATGAGCCGATCTTGAAGTCACGACGTTACACGTGGATGTCCGTATCTGCCATCAACGCTTCCCATGACATTGAGACGTAAAACTAACCGATTTATAACCGAATTGTGAACACCGCAGTGAGCAGCAGCTACCTGCTATTGAGAGCTACCTCACTGAGCATTGCAAGATACCGTCCTCTATCAAAGATGATGATTACTTTCACATATGAATTTTGTGATAAATTATTCATCTGTGGCAAATATATACTTTGATATACAGAGTGTAGATGTGTTCGGCATAACCTTGTTTCAACATTTTGAAGACCCAAGAGTGCGGCTATATAAGAAGTCACAATCTAAATGTCTAACTATCGTATTTCTGCACCATCCTTCGATTTTTCTTAAAGGTTTAGACAACATAGAAGTCTGGTATGCTAGTTCGGTTTCTCCATAATAAAGTCAGCTACGTCTTCGGTCTTGGTGGATACAAATAAAGATGATATAACTATTTTTCACAATTGTTGTGATTATAATTTCATAAATCAGATTCCTTGAACATATTATTAATAACTCCACATACATCTCCTGTTTGTTGGTTTATGTATACGATCGGTTTCAAACAGCCACTCAAATCGTCAATGCTGTCCTAGTGACAAAGCTTGTTGTTTGTCCACATCTTAATACTTCTTTTCAGGTTTTGTCTTTGGATGTTGTTTGGGTCTCCCGAGACACAACTATTTATTTAGTAAGATTGAAATTCTATTCTGTTTTGTCGGTTAATGAAGAGGTTGACCGTTCGGTGACCTTTAGTGAGTGTTATATGAGTCATCAACAAACCAATTAAACCCAAGAAGTAATATAGCACAGCTGAACCCATCTCGCTTATTAGAGAATACATTTTCTTTCTTCTTATTTCACCTATCGGAAATTGATTTTTCGCTGTCTGGTGTTATCTTTCCGTCGAGAATTCAAATAATTTAGACCGAAACAACAAAGGATATACTTTAATGATTTCTGAGACTTTCTAAACAGACAATCACAAACACAATGTCTGCCTTTAAAATACAGCATAAAGCGCACGGAAAAATAGAACTGGGCAAGACAAACCCTTAGAATTATTATCTATGAACCTTGCCAATTTTGTTTCTTCCTAATGTCTCACTTGACCTTGACACTACTATTACCCTATAAATTGAGGTTTTTCCTAGGATGAGAAAGGTTATAGATAATGTCTTAAGACTGTAACTTAATACAGTAGTTTATATTGTCCTTTGTTGTTCCTTTATCTTAATTTTGACGACGTTCAACGTCTTCGCATCAGCCAGGGTCATATGAAGACGGAAGTCAAGAGGAACAACAAGCGTGGAAAACAAAGAACAGAAGGAAGATCTATTTTGGACTCTTTAATGTCCCATTGGTAGAAAATTGAGTCCACTTATAGTTGTCTTCTAATATTTTGCAAAAGAGATACAGCATATCGTATTTTTGGGCACCCCGATATCCTCTAAACAGAAGATGTCGGATAAACTCATCCATATCTGCAAGGATGTCCCGCAAGACGTCTCTTAGTGCATGCAGTAAAAGACAATAGTGATATTTTTCTCGTCTCCGGCACGGGCACCCGTTCAGTGAAACTGACTCGTTCTGGTATAAACTTGGTGGACTTTGAGGGATATTATTCATAGTTTTTGTGAGTTGACATTTTCGTGAAATGGCACTTTGACTTCTACTGATTAATCAATTAAATTTATCAAGTTCTTAATTTAGCCCCATAAGAGAAAAAAATCCTTAAATGATTAAGTATGTTACAATACCTTTGGCGTTCAACAGCAAAAACTAACCAACCAAAAACATAATGTAATATAACTCATTTTGGTATTCAAAATGATGCAAGACATTACTGTTTTTCATAAAACATCCGAAGAATTCTTTGTTACATGAACTGATGCGGTCTACAGAGGAATACTGTAGTTTTGTGTCGTTAAGATTCCTACTGATCGACCTCGCAGTAAAGCATTTTAAAACGTCATTTCTGAGCTATGTTGAAATTATTTATATATAGATATATATAGATATTAAAATTTCATTTCCTTTTGGTTGATTACAAACGTCAGTAAAACGAGGCATGATCGTCTGTATAATGTGAAAATGAATAATTACATGCTGAATTGCTTTCAAAAGATAATTTGAAATTCATTTCCGTCACTACCAAATAGAATGATTCCGCGAAGAGACGACAGAGGATTATCAATTTTATAAAGCTTTCAGACATTCTAATACAAAAGCAATCGTTTAGTTGAACGACCAACCCGAAAATGTCAAAACCCATTTTAAATACACAGGATGTAATGATAACAAAAATATAGTACAGACGTACCAATGTCTGAAATCCCCATGCAAGTAGCTCGTTAGTATTCTACCTTACACTAGTAGTATAAGAGGCGCGCCAATGAAGTGGATCCCACTTGCAGATACAGTAATTGTGCAAGTCTGTTAGAAATCGATCTTTTTCTATGGTTATAGAAAATGCAAAGCAATATCAACATAGATTATTCGTTTAAAACAGTGTTATTGTCGTGTATGTTGTAGAAAGCTAGGTGGTAAACGATGTATTATACATTTATACGGCAAATTACGTTCTATATTAACACTGAATTAGTCCATAGTCTCACGTTAACCACTGGGATATCGCCACTGTTCTCCGATTGATAATGAAAACTACAAGTACATACAACATTAAATTTATCAACCCGACAAGGAAAACCACTAACGGCAATGTAATGTAACTTGTAATCAGATCCCCAGAGTCAGCCTATTGTCTCCTCCCGTTCCATGTATCATGCCTGTAGAGTTTCATACCTATTTTCTATTTTGTTGTATTGTGGTTATTTGTCTGCAGGACTTATCCAGTCTAGTATAACACAGGTTTAATCACGACTTATCTAACTTTAGTCATTATCTAGCATCCTTTGAAGTAATGATGTTACCTTTTCATTATAGTTTTAACCTAGATTGAATGTTGTTCAATGATCACATTTTTTTAATGTTTTCTTTCCCATAGGGTATCTAATGGATCTTGATTATGCACATTGTAGTAGTAGTAAGTAAACCATAGGGATGATGATAAAGGGGTATTACTACTGTTAAATCATTTCCGTGGCGTTTATTTTCGTACATCTCGTTATTATTTTCAATGCACGAATTCAGATAACTTGGACATGAATTTTTGGTATTAATATATTTAACAAGTAATATTTACCAATGAAATTAAGAGCCATGAAAAAGTATTTTGCTGAAAATCCAGGAAAGATCTATTATTTTATAATACCTTGTTATTTCGAACTCGTGTAACTTAAAGATTCTCATTGGATAAACTCGGATAAACTTGGATAACTCGAAGTTTTCTCACGGTCGCACCGACTTCCAGAAGACTGGGTTTATCTATGTATTTGGATGGGTTTTCTTTGTCCCATCAAATATATGTAAATTTGCTAATAACATTGGTATATCTGAACATGTTATCATAGTTATCAAATATATATAGTCGCATCATTCTTATTTCTACTTAAATCATTAAAAACACAATGTGTTTTTATTGCATATTCATTCATATACATTTAGTGGAGAGATGGTTTATGGACTACAATTAAGTTCCATAAACGAACCATATCTGTTCGGAAAAATAGTTTTTTGAATTATTTGATTTTCTCAACATCTAATGTAAGAACGATGGGATAATATATACAAATATTTTGAATTATATATCATGTGGTGACCACTTGTTGAAGAAATTCATGCTTTTCGTTAAATATATATGTATTTTATAAATGTTTTATGGAAACATCTACCTTTAAGTATTAACGTATGCAATTGCAGATTGCACGCTTTGTTAGATTGACAAGTTTCTTGCCTCTTGGCACAATTCAGAGGCAATTTGGGAGTCATCTGAATGTTGGGTCAGTAATTGTCACACCTTCTAGTCTAGTAATTGAACTTTAAAGCATGTATACATTCCTAATAGCTTACCAATAAAGAATTGTATCCCTAAAACCCCCGTTAGCCTCAAGTCATACCTATTACGAGACCACTAATACTGCGACAGCTGCCGCCATCGGTTGTCTTTCTAGAGATTTTTATTACGTGGAACCGTTCATCTGGGCACGTGCTCCGGACGAAGACAGTCATTTTCTACATATAAATCCATCTTTTAATTATTCAATCTTGTCATCTCTATTAGTCAGAAGCCGATGTTGTATTTTGTTGGCTTACTATCGAATTCCCTAAGCCAACATTACCATTTTACGCGAACTCAGCCCACTGGCTGTGCGACGCGCAGACCTCTGTGAAAATCTACCATAAACAAGTCCTGTCCTAGTAGCAGATGTCGTGAAATGCTGTCTGGCATCGTACAGACATACACGGCGATTCGTCCTGTGTGATTCTAATGAATACAACTCACTGTTGACCTGTCAACATGGGTTCATTTTGCTTTATGTTTTATCCTGGAGTTATTAGTCATTCAAATGCGTTTTCATGTATTGCGATTAAATAAAAAACAATTAATTGGATTTTCTGCATTGGAGTTGGCTGTCCGTGATAAAGCATCCTCATCTATTTTACAGACTACCCCATGCGAAGAATTACTTAAAGTGAACAAGAAATACTTGAAAAAGGAATTAAAATTGCAACGGCAATTAGATATAAGCGTCGTTTAAAAAGGCAGCAGAGAGAACATGGGAATTATCAGTAAATTGCTTTACACGCGAAAATTAGAATGAAGTAAACAAGCCCACGAGTATGGAATCAAGTAATCATAGACAATTCTTGGGAGGAATATTTATTTCATCGTTTGTTGTTTAAAAATGCGGAAGTAGATTTGAAAGCGAAAAGCAATCGACCTTGACAACGATAGCGTTGAAAAGCCTTGTTAGTTTTGTTATGCTTCCATGATCAAGTTCCTCACAAAGAGTTTTCTAAACCCACTTAAGTGACAATGTCTCTGTCATTTTGTAGTCGCCCATGGAACCTCCATATCAGTGCCCAGGATTCGACTTCTGGTAACCCTGACAACTTCGAAGGAAATTGTTTGTGCTGGGCTCCTAACTTTACGACACCTAAAATGGCGTTGATTGAACAAGGTGATTCCGCTCCTCCTGAGAACTGTCAGCGACTTGTCGTTCTTGGATCTAGTAAAGTTGGTAAAACATCACTAGTCGCTAGATTCCTTTACAACAAGTTCGACGATAATTATACGCCAACAATCGAAGATTTCCACAGGAAAGTGTACCGGATAAAAGGCGAGGCATACCGCTTGGATTTATTGGACACTTCCGGTAACCATCCTTTTCCGGCAATGAGGAGACTTTCCATGATCACAGGTAAGGCTAATTACAATTTATAACAATATTCTAACCATGAAACCGATATTTCCTTGCTCAGATATTAATAAACTCTACTTACATATATTCTTTATACTGTGTTACTACAATAGTGTGTCAACAGAATTTAGTCTCAAAACAGAAAAAAATAACATTTGAATGTATTGTAACATATATAAGTAGCATAATCGTTTGCTCTCTCTCTATATATATATGCGTTTGTGTAGTACAATTTTATCCGAAAGAAACACTTTACAAGTTAACATTTTACCTATCAAGGCTGCAATACCGTAAATCGTGAGTCTAAGAAGATAACAAGTTTTTAGTTTTAAATGGAAACTGGTTACATGAATGCTGACAAAAATAGTTTTTCCCTGGCATGTATTGCATAAGCTAACATACCATGTACTTGACGTTTTTCTAAAATTATCAGATATATGAAATTTACGAAATTTTGAATTATGGGGCTAGTGCACCTGCCAATCTTGATCGTGGCCATTTATTTTGATCACTTTTGAATTTCCTCAGTCGCTTCCTAGATTTAAGATTTAGTCTCTTAACATCACTGTCGAGTCTTAGATGGACGAAACAGCTGTATGATGTAGGTGTACCGCATCTCATATAAATTTATAATAAAGGTGCTGTTCAATAATGTGTATATTGTACAATCTTAGGAATTCCTCGCCTGCTGTACACATCCCACAACCTAAGTTTGTTACCAACGGCTCACCACCGCTCCACGATAAGTTTGTTACTAATATTCCCTCACTTGCTTTACAAAATCCCGCAAAATTTCACCATTGTTTACTTACTAATACCTCTCTTGTTAAACACAAGTCACCTAACCTAGCTCAACCATATGCATGTTACTAATAGTTCCTACCTTGTTGCACGTCCCCACAGAGTTTGTGATCAATGTTTTCTCATAACTCCACCATAAACTTGTTACTAATAGTTCCCCTCTTGTTGCACGTCCCCACAGAGTTTGTGATCAATGGTTTCTCATAGCTCCACCATAAGTTTGTTACTAATATTCCCTCTCCTGATTTACACATTACCACAAAAATCGTTATCAATGGTTCAACATGGCTCTACCATGGTTTTGTTACTAATAGTCCTCTCTTGTTATACTCAAGTCGTCAAATATTTCCTCTCCTGTTACAAGTTCCTAGAGTTTGTGATAAACAGTTCGTCATATCTACATCGTTATTTTGTTATTGATAATCTGGTGCTTTACACACACCCTTATACACTAATGCTGATACTAGTTGTCAATCCTTAACCATTGTTGTCGTTATTCAATTAAAAATTCATCTGTTTTTCGATTATCAGGTTAGTGTAACTCTAAATTTGTCGTTGACTTTTTGTTTCGGTCGATCATTTTCTAGAGTGTCTTCTCTATTTTTATGGTTAAGATCACTGCTATCACTGACGAGACCTACAATGACAGAAAAATTATGTGTTAAAGTTTAGTATATCAACAGACAAATAATGTATGCATATAACAGTTACAGTATTACACTTTTTTATTCACTTTTTTGTTAGTCTGTTGTACAAATCCTCACTAACATTTACCCCCTACTAATGGTAACGTCGTATGATTTGCCTTTAAGTTGACTTTCCACCTAAAAAAGAAAATTCTGTGTTCTAAGTCTTGGTCGAGACAAACCGAAGTATAAAATTGGTAGTACAACTGATTTATTGTCATTTTTAAATTAATTGTCAGGTCTACTTAATGCCACCGCAGAAGCATTTCTGAGTTGCAATTTACTAGCTTCGCTGTCGCAGAACAGTAAAACAACAACCCCCCCCCCTCCCCTCCTAAAAAAAAACAAAAACAAAAACAAAAACAAAAAAAGGAAAAAAAAGAAAGGGAAAAAATGTGTGTTGGTGAGGGGGAAGGCCTCAGGTGGATTGTCAATCAACTTGAGATTTGTTTTATTCGTGTAGTCCATAAATTTGTCTGATTAAAAGCTATGATATGTGCATGGCTTGCTATTGAGAAAACACTGGGTCCATGTTGTCGGTAACATCTCCGGATGAGTCATAGAAGTTTGATACCAACCCTAATGCCTAGCATGTCACAAACAAATTACAGTGAAACACATTTTTATGGGACTGTGTTGACCTAGTGCCAACTCGAGACATTTATACAAGTCTTCGATCTCTTTCTAAAACGATAAATATCTGCTAATCCTGGTCTAATAACTGGTGGCAGACTGTTTCAGATGATATAACTACTCATTACCATTACTCTTTATAAGCTGTATATATGTAGATGTAGGAGTGGGGTTAGACTTCATTCCAGGAGTAATGGATTCTTCTTTTGTTACTTGGGTTTCCAATATTTTTCTTGATTTGATGGTGGATGATCTAATTTAATAACAATACCACCTGGATGTGACGAGGAAGTAAAACGAACCAAAACACTCCAGGAAATTTCCATTTTGCTTTTATCGAATGAGAAATAATGTCTTAGAATCGTTCACAAAGTTATGTTCAGTGCATTACAAGCTGAACGATGAACGATGACTCATTTCGTTACCAGCATTTCTTTATATGGAGGTAAAATACGGTACGAAAAAATTGGCGCCTATTCACATTCACACCAATTAGTTGGAAATCATTCCGTTGCCTGCTCTTTTTGACAGCTATTACACAACTGGACCTCCTGGAGTTCACAAAAAAAGGAAAAAATGAAAATACACAGATCTGAGTTTGTATTCACTAGTCATGGTATCTCTGATGTCAAATGATGACGTTAGTTATTAAGATGTTTGTAAAACGTCCCTGAGTGATGTCATTATCTGTTGACAGTTTTTTCATTATCAACGTTGTCGCGGTTGTTTTGTATATTGCTTTATGACCAATTAACATTTACGGTCTTGCCTTTGAGAGATAATTGTGTGCGTGCTATTCGGGAGGCTTCGCCATGTTCGTGTAAGCCTCCTATTGATAGTGTGGGCCTGATTTATAGTGCTATCACACAGAAATATGTTTCTGAACGTGCCCTGTAGGACGCTTCAATCGGTCACATTATACTGACATTGGAGAAACTAGTCGTTACCCGATCACAATGTTGGCGCCCAGTATTGAAATATTACTGATAATTTCAAAAGACTCTTGTGTGCCACAATATGTCAATACACACCGCTAAGGCCCCGTGGACACTGCTGCCTTGTGAAAGCAGCCGTTGTGAGACCGTAAAATCCAAACCAACATTTCTCAAAGCGATACAACTTGTACATCTGTGCAGTGTGCAACATAATTATTTGGATTTCCCCACTTTTTGAGGTGAGGATTGTTCGTCTTTACGGTACACAACACGGATGTATTTCTTGAGTACTTAAGCACTTGAATATTGGCCGGAAATCTTAAGGGAGAAGCTCAGGTCTCCAAATCTATGGATAAATCTACGCGGTGTATTACACTATTGACATAAACGCAAAAAACAGGGAAAAAACCAGGATTATGTAATAAATAGTTCTAAGATTGTACAAAAGACACACAATAGCACATTTAAATACATATTCAGAGTTATACACAGTACAGCCAAATTAGTAATTAAATGATAACTTTAAAGCCTTCAAATTGTTTTGATGGTAAACAAGGTGTAATGACTTTTCAAAAGCAAATAGGTGTTGATACAACGTTATAGTTTATAATATAAAAATCGATTTTCAAAAAACAAAAGCTTCTTTACAACTGATATGGTAATATGTTCTTAAAACAATTTCTATAACATTGTCATAAATCACAATTATATTGGCAATGTGGGAAAATCTGTACCGTTGGAATACCACAGTCTAAAAGACAGTAGTTACCACTCACTGCTTAACGCTCAGTATTGCGATAGTGTAGCATATGTTCCCATATCACGCGATCAACACATGTACTCGTTTGCATACATAGGGAGACCGACTTTAAACGACCATAGTGGTTGATAGGAGGTTAGTAACATAATACAATATCCAAAGAATGTATTCAAATGGTCTGCCTAAGATTTCACGTCCTTTCATCAGTACCAAATTGAATGTGGAATGCTATCATGGATGACGACACCACACACTGAAATGGCACATAATGTATACAATTTGCTGGTAACACGATGATGACAATAGCTTAAGGGTGTTTACAGTTTTTTTGACGGTTCCAATATCACAGATTCTGGTTTGTCTCAGTCATCCTGAATCCTCGTTTTTAATGTCAAAAGTGATGTTCAACCAATATATGCATTAAAGGGAAACTATTGTTTTTAATGAAGGAAAAAAGATACAAATATCAAAATTAATGGCAATGGATTCAACAGCAACATTTCTTACACTTCCTACAGGGCAGGTCTTAATAAAACATCGAGAATGTTGGAAAATACATCATACCAATTTAAAACATGACCACCATTCATTATAATAAACAATATACTCCTATTTTCATTCTTTTAAAAATCTAATCTCTTCCTCAAACTCCCTGGTGTGTATACATTGAACGATATCGATTGTTGTGCTAGTGGACCGTCTGCCTGTGACTAAGAATGCAGGTTAGTTTGCTTTCGCTCTATATGGAAATTGTCCGCCATGTAGCAAAATGCAAATGACGCACCGGCAACAACTTTAATCACGAACAGGTTGTAGCGTAAGACTTCCGGATTTGTAGTTAAACAAACTGCTTCGTTAGGTTAGTGTTCATTAAGGATGCATATTGGGATGCTGTTACATGCATTCCAAATCAAGACATCAATAAAATATTTTATGTGGCTAATGATATCTGGACTTGTCTCACGGGACATCTGAGAATCATAAATTGACCTGCCGTGCTCTTTTTAACGCTAATTTCTCATTTTTCTTCGAATCACCTTTTTATCGTATCACTCGCGATCTGCTTTTGAATACCTGTGGCAATAAACATTATGAGGGAAGCAATGATATAATACCAGATTGATTACATACATTTAATGCCAGCATTTATCTATTTCCAAGCGATAATTGTAATCATTCCTTGACTATGACACGAAACGTAATTTAGGAGAAGCTAGGCTAATAGGTTCATTGTTTACATGTATTTATCTTAGTGATCAGATGGTTACTTGCCATTCACTGAAGGCAAAAGGCGATGATGTCTAATAAATTAACATTTGAAGTCTTGTTTTTCTACAAAGCAGTCTTTACACCGTTATGCCTATCTATAAAATGTCAAAAGTAGGCAAACTATGAGCAAAAGGAAGATTTACACCGAGACTCCAAGAAAGAATAAGCAGAATAATGCCACGTGTTCCTGAAGAATAAGCGTTTTCTGCATCGTCGACGACACGATAAAAATCTTGGTCAATCCAAGTAAGTAATGCAAGCGTCTCGCATGAGAACAATGTTTACAACAACGGAACCAACAAACAAACGAGTATCAAACACGCCAAACTTCCCCATAATTTTCATAAACTTACAGCTTTTGAAACCCTATTTTATAAATTTATCCGTCAGTTGGTGAATTCTTGCACAAAATACGTATCAATTGGAACAACCCCTTGTTTATCCAATCAACTGCGATATGTAAACACCAGGTTTGGGATGCAGGGATGTTGCTAATGACCTACAAATAAAGGTACGAGCTCGTAACATTAGAGAACAAAGTTATCCTCTCAAACGATATATTACAACGTCGTTACGAACGTGCGGTCAGTGTTGAGCGTTATAGATGGTGTTTTTATCCTCTTATCGAGACTACGATAAGAGTACGACATTGTTACCGGCTGGTGTCTGCTTCAGGTTCAGTATTTAATATGTCAGCACAAACTTATTAACTGCCAGACCAGATGGGATTTTATATTACTTGGTCAACATTATGATATTAAACATTTTAAGAATGACAATATAGAAGATCTTATGAGTGGACCCATCAACCGTGATAACAGTATCCATTCGACCTTTGATGATTTTTAACCCCAAACATATCAACTCATAGACAGCAAATCAAATACAGCCATTTACAGAGGTTTTAGACAATGTTATGTTATTTTAAAGAAACGGCTTTAAAAACACAAAGTTGCCATATCACTTCTACTTCTACTGACGAAAATAAACCGAAGTCAAATGATTATTTGCTTCTCTAAGTTGTGTGCGAATCTCTTCTAATGAAAGGGCAGATTGTCTCGCAGTCGACCGTATGAACAGAAACTGGTAATTAACAAGTCCCTTTGTAGATTTTACTGATTTTAAATCATTAGTTTATGCATGACCTTTAGTGTCGAAGCGCTGTTAAATAAATCAATCGGAATGTTTTACAAGTATCTATGTTTTCGTTCGCACCGCCCTAAATGACAATTCCCTGGCATTAGTGTTAAACAGTTTCAAAAGCGAGAAATGTTTCCAATTTTGCCAACAAACCAAAGCTGTTCAAGTCGATGTTGGCTTCTCTCTAATCGACGTTTATATTTATGGTAGCAGGAAAAACAGAATAGCTTTGTGTTCGCTGAATGTAGATAGATCAGATCTCCACGTTATCGAGTTCCAAGTACTGTAGCACTATTAAATTGACCCCATTAATTATACTTTCTTCGTCCCCAAACATCATGAGTCAAAGGTGATTTACCTGTTGTAATTTGTCTGCGGATGTACACACTGTTGACAACTGTCATTGATGCAGTAGATGTTTGCCGAGTAGTAGTAGTGAAATCAAATCAACTGTTGAAACGAAATATAAGGTTGCACTTATCCTATCACCTTGGAAATCATTTTGGAAAATATGCGCAATGCCACCGCACCTGCCACCATACCTTCTACATCTTTTCGATCAGGTAAAGATGGCAGTTACTACGATCTGCGCAACACTCAGAACTGAGGTAGTGTTAAGCTCATGTATGTTTAACGTTAACGGGCGGGATATCCTGTTGGGTGCATTCAGCAACATAATTCGGTGTTGTAACACTATAATGTCGGATCATCTGCATTATCACAAGAGGCTGACAATATTACATCTTATACTTCTACAGACACAAGCACTGAACGCATGCACTCATCTTGCATACATTGGCAGGCTGACCTTAAAAGATCATAGATCTGGATAAGAGAAATGCTAGTTTAGCAGTTTCTAATACAAAAAACTTGATAATTCACTTTCTCTGTATAATGCAGATATTATCAAATATTTTAGACATGATAGCCGTAGAACCATATGTTGAAGTGGCACTTTGGTAACGAACTCGCTTTCCACCTTGGCGTCCGGTATCGATTCACGGAACGGACATGGGAGGCGTGATGACACCTGCCCGATCACGTGTGTTAACCCCGGGTACTCCGGTTTCCCCCCACAGTAAGACCCCTCGCCGCTTCTATCCGTGCCAAATTGAATGATTTATATCAGCAATTTTTTAAAAATGAATAGAGTGCGTTTAAGATTATGTGTTATCCGTTTTTGACCAGACAGTACGGAAGAATAATTTACTCAGCTCTACATCGATCGGTCTTAACTATGCCGTTACTGGAATAAGTAACAATAATATATTCTATGATTAGCAACCAAACGGCACTATGGACATTCGGGCTGCACCGGCCTGGTGACCGATAAGTGGTGAGATAGTAAGTAGCTTAGACCTGTAACGATAGCCTGGCTGCTAGGCTTCCAGTGGTGGTAATCTTGGAATCAATTACGTAATCAAATGTTGTGACACCCATTGCAGAAGCATACTTCACCCGTGCGTTGTTGGTAACAACCCGTCATCATTTGTGTGGTCGATCAGTGGGGATAGATAACTAAGTATTATGTTAGCCAGGAGAGGGACGAAGCGCAAGTAATTAGATTTAATTAAGTAACAATAGAGTGATTACACAAAAACTCGCTGATATCTTGATATCACTCTGAGGAATTGGAACATGAGCTCCATCAGCCAGCTGCAGTATCTAGCAATTTAGTTATGCATGTGTTTTGGAGTGCTGGAGTCGTGATTTACTGGTTTGTTTTCAGTTTGGAACTGCGTATTTAATGAAATAGATTGAACTAGGTAAACAATCATGGTGGTTGTTGTACATACTACAGGATTTGTAGCTTATTGCGAATCGATTATTCGATATTCGCAAAGATGAGCGTACTTTTGAGTTGTTTTATATCATACACTAACTAGGTTTTGCAATGGTTTAGTTTTTGCAAATATTGCTGAATTCCTGCTTTGTTGTTCAATTAATATAAACGTATTTATAAACTTATTGCCGTGCTTTTTATATTTCAGGTGATCTTTTTGTTCTAGTCTATAGTATCGACAACAGAGATTCCTTTGAGGAAGTGTCAAAGTTATGTAAACAGATCCAAGAATGCAAAAGTCAATGCCGGAAAGAAACGAAACGACTAGCTCACGTTCCGATGATGATTGTTGGAAATAAATGCGATAAAGACAAAAACAGAGTTATCGACCCTTCGGAACCAGAAATGCTTAGAGAGGCTTATCATCATTGTGGCTTTCTTGAAACATCCGCTAAAAAGAACATCAATGTTGAAGAATCATTCCAGACATTATTTGATCTCGCGAAGTTACCCGTTGAAATGAGTCCATCATTACATCGGCGTGTTCAACCGTCGTACATTGGCGGAAACAGCTCGCAATCGGGAAAGCGGGGGATGTCCATTAGACGCAAAATGTCAGACGCATGTGGCACCATTGCGCCAAACGTGCGCCGGCCCAGTATTCGTACGGACTTGTTGGTGGCACAAATGCGAACAAATGCTGGCGGTAGTGCCGCTAAAGTTCCATCAAATGCCAGTGACGGGCAAAGGACTGAGTTAAGATGTGTTATCCAGTGACGTAACTCTACAATCCAATCAAACAATCATAAAATTATATATTTTATATACATGTATCTGTTGGATGTTGGTGTCGGTTATTTAAAAATTGATGTCCAAAATTGTGAAATAAATCGTGCTATAAAACAATGCGACATCTTTGCCCTCATTCCCTTTCTGGTGGTTCTGACTGAATGCAAGCATGAACTTTCTACTGTCATTTCTTGGATCAATTCTGAAAAAGGTTAATATAATACCTATAAGATATAATATTAAATGATCATTAGACATTTTTAAACATTTTAATGAAAATATCTAATTATTATGTTTAACAACGTTTCTCTTGTATATATTTAACTGTAAATTGTTTCCGGGAATAACATTGCCCTCATCACTCTTGGCAATGATCTTAGCTGTTATGATGAAGTAAATAACCGACCAAAACAAGTTTGACATATTTTTACTTTAGGAATGGCTTACTGCACCGATTACAATCAAACTTTCTGATTATCTTATATCTACAAAAAAACAAGTGCTGGTTCTATACTCTTCAAAGGGTTAGTGCTTTAAATTTGGCACCATTTTATAAAAACTAAATGATACTCATGAAAACCTTACAAGAACATTGTACCTGTCAACGATTAAAGATCGATGATGATTAAAGATAATTTATAGGTTCCACTTGGCTAGTGTCAATGAAGGGAAAAATTTATGGTGTTATGCACTATAGGACCACAAAATGGTCCAGATAAGTGGTCTCTAGCATCTCTTTCGTGTTGAGCGTGAAGAAGGGCAAGGACAGGCAATGAATGTGGTATGTCATGGTCGGACATCAGATTCCGCAGCAATCTCACATGGGTTGAAGATCAAATTTGACGCAAACATGCAGTATTAAAGATGAGAATATGATTTTTAAAAACAAATGATTATCACAAGCTTGAAGCAGCTTTCGAAAACATCAGGTTTGACTGAACATAATTATGATATATATTTACACTGTTTACACTGAAACTTTGGTTGACTTGCTGTCACTCTAACGTGATACACGCGTTATCCGAAAGATCTACATGATTTAGTTATGGCATGGCGTAACTTTAGAGTATTAATTGATAATAGACGTCATGATGTTAAGACAAAAAATTATTTTCAGATTCATTTCGAATACATTACATAAAATAGGGAGAAATGCCCGTATTTTCTTTGAACAATACTCCTTAATTGACGTTCAAGATCATATACCAAAACACGTACCATTAATATATTAGCCAATAACTATTTTAATATTCAATCATGTTGATAAACATAATGTCAATGAATACATTGTAAGGCATGTCGTTATAAACGTCTATTGGGATCGTCATCTCCAGTATAAAATGCAAGGCAGTATCATTATGGTTAGAGTATTCATTTCTCATTCTTACAATGCATATAGAGTCAAGCGTTGTGCATTGCCATTGACGTTATAAATTCCAAAGGCTGTCATAAGGATTTATTCATCTTGATCCTCCGTGACTACTCTGGTTACAGACAGCCATCGTACACATATTCCCTTGAATATAAATGCATTTGTTTCTGCCTATATCTTTTCTCCATCATGGCGCGACTTCAGTTCTCGATATGTCCCTCCATTACTTTAGATCGTCTATAAAGAATAATTTGAATACCTATTATTGCCTGTCACTTCGATGTACGTGTGTATATCAATGCGTGGAACAATGCACCGAGGCACCTTCGAAATAACGAGTGTAATGTATTGCTGCCTCGTTGACCTTGATCGAGTTGACCTCGTTTCCATGAATGTCACGTGAATAAATCAATATAATTCAGTTGCAGACCAGTGCCCAACAGGCCATTTCTCAAGTTTGATTACCTCAATATCGCTGTTAAATTACTTTGTCTGTATCACGTTTGATTGCGGTGCTCTCCTGTAACACTGCTGGCAGTGTGGAGATGAATCATACTTGTCGCTTTCTATTGTTGATGAAAATTTCTGCTACCGGCAAATGACTTAATCATACTGGGCCTGTCCGGAAGCAATATTGACCGGTATACTGTGGTAAATATTGCCGTCGTTTTTCTTTCCTCCTCTGTTTGTCATTCACGACGCTAAGATACATTTTCTTTCTGTCTGCCTCCCAGTTAACGTAGTTTTGTAGAGATTTTTGCAAGGCCTCGTCAGATGGAAACCGGCTCTCCTGTAAATACCAATATGTTACCGATCATGTGATGGCATAAATCTCGTACAATATAGACAGTGTTGTTAGATTATTTCTGATAACAGATTTTCTGGCTTGCCCAGAGTTTATTCAATATGTTTATGTCACAACGAATCTTGGTTGAAATAGTCTACGACAGATTCTTAACCAGCTTAGAAATAATATTTTGTCTCGTCTCATGAAATAACATATTTTACACATGTTGTTATTATTACGACAGTTCGTGTACGTAAATACACAAGGGACTTAAGGGAAGGGTAAATCATAAAAAAATGCATTTATTTACCGTCATACCTAAATTTGTGATCAAAAGATTAGGGGTAGAGAACGATGTCAGAAATATACCACAACAATGATATGAAAAATAAACAAAGAATAAAACAAACTTTTCCTTTACGTCCTGTATAACTTTCCTTCTCATAATCTGTTTCGCCATTTGTTTGTAAGTTTTTTAAATTATGTAATTCATTCTTTTTTCCACAATTCCGTTCTCTATATTAATTACTGATGTGACACTTTCCACACGATGCTATTGTCTTCTGATTTTAAACTGGAAACGGCTCATTGAATCTAGTCATGACAGCTCTCATAGTGCGAATATTTAAAAAGTCATTCAAAATTCTGATAATCGTGTAAAAAGTGTAAAAAGAGAAAAAGAGACAAGGAAACGGCCATCATTTTGTGAAAATCGATTTTCTTTCAGCAGAAAACTCATTTCCTTTTCCCTCAAAGCAACTCTAAATTTTAATCAGAGAATTGACTTCTAATATAAAAAAAACAATTACGAAACATGATCGCAAAACGCTCTAAATATTCCTTTATGTCAGTCATTTCGAAGGAGTTGGTAAAGAGGTAGGCTGTTTTTGAGCCATGTCGTAGAATTGCCTGGTTGTGGTTTTTCCACGAGATATGGAACATATTTACAGCTATAGACAGGGTTGGTAATGAAACATTCTTTATATCTAACACTGTACAAAAATGTACACATACAAAAATGTACACATACCAAAATGTTTGAGGATTTAAATAAGTCACGATTATAACATTTATTTATTTAATAAACATATACCTGCGGTAAAGATGGAATTACTGTTGAAATTATTTGCAGATATTTGTTTCCGGAAAATGAATTCTCATTAGGAAATTTTAACACTTTAATACAGACCTGAGAAGATTAACAAAGAATTAAATACATTGATTTAAAAGATTAACGGAAAGTATTTTAAGGGAAATAATACAAACCCTCTATAGGGCTTCAATCGCGAAATTCAATCAACTGACTTTAATATGTTATTCTGTTTAGCAGCAATATATCAAGAAACTATTAAGAAAGGTACCACTGAAGACATCCAAATTTTCCGAAATTATTTTCAAGGGGAAATCAGTGTCCTTATTAAAATGAAACCTTTTAAGCACAAATTCCTATAGATAGAAATTATCCATGAAATCGATTCAGATTTAACTTACACATTCCTCGAGATTTCTTTTGACAGCTTCGGAGGATTTCTCCTTAAAAAATTTCTTTGAGATCATAATGCATTCAGCACCGTTACTAACCACACTGAAGGACGGCTGAGTCTCCGTTCCTATTACACTATGAACACCCTGTTAACAAAAAGTTGTTACATGGCTTCACAATATGTGTTGTATAATTACTCACATGTAATTTGAATGGATATCATGATTTAGTGGTCGAAATCGTTTCACGAATCCTTGATGTAATTTTAATTTTATAAAAAAAAAAAAAAAAAAGAAAAAAGACGTTTGTTTTTTACGGATGTTGCACATGAAGTGCGTTATAATTGAAGTTATGTCCGCATATTTTTGAATAAAGTAATATGACATACATATAAAACATAAGCCATGCTGTATGTCTATATTACATTTCATTCATACAACCGTAAAAGCATGATACATATTTCCGTACCAATATTTATATAATCTAATTTACTTTTGTTGTTCTGATTTTAAACAAGACTGTTTGCTAGGTAAAATTACCAATAGTAAGCCAAGTAGTTGCAGTAGCGAAAAATACATTACCAATTAAATACCCTTTGGTAAATTTGTTTGTCTGTCAGCAGATTTGACAATTCAAAACAAATACCTTTTGATAGAACATTTATATAAAAAAAATCAGTGCTAATCCGTTGTTTAATTGGGGTCAAAGATTATTTTTTTTGTATTCGTTGACAATTTAGAAGAGGTCACGTGTAAGTCAATATACGGAAGTCTTTGTTAAAGTGGTGACGCGTTGCACTGACTCTGTACTGATATGGATCATCAGAATAGCATTGCAATCCTAGTACATCATTATCACAGAACAGAGGATTCCAGTGATAGAAAATAGGTAAAGAAAGAAACATACGGTTTAAAGTATGTAGAAAACTCCTTAAAGGTTTAGTATATCCTTTCATAAATAGTTACAGTAACATTATATCGTTTTTCATCATTCAACGGTCAATATTCTGGTTTAATCAGAGCAAAACGAAATGTAATATCACACACGCAGACACTGTTAAGAAAATGAATGTGTCAATTAAATTTTCACACCGAGACAACCTACATAGCTTATTATAATATGCCACATTTAATTATTCGCTTATCACAAATAAACATTTTTTTTAAATCATTTTCCATTTTGTTTCAAAATATCTCTTTCCTTATTGAAACTTTTCAAATATTAAAAAAATATATTCTTAATTAGAAATAATTCCTGAAATAATTTTTAATTGGTTAGCTTTATTTTCATTTCAGTTAAAGTATCTGAATGTCTCGTTATTGTAATAAGGGACATAACTCTTACATCAATATCATGGATGAAGTCCTGGAATTACTTACGAAATATTGGCCCCTCTCCAGGACTTTGACTAGGATAAACATTGGATGTAGATCAGCCTCAGTGAGTTTATAATCAGTTGGTGGCTTGTTGTCGAACTCCTCTGCGATTGTCTTCCTGCCCTCTTCTTGTGTTGCTTTTTTTATCCATAATTCTGAGAAAAAATAATAGTTTGCCATATTTTGTTTCACAATTACGGAAATATTCATTAATAGTAACGTGTGCGACTATAGCGCGTGCAACATAGGTTTCAGATCATATAATAATGACGAAGTAATTATTTTAGAAACCCAGTCATGTTGAAATATCCATTTCTACTTTATGACGCAAAGATATTTGATTTTAATCGGCACTTATTACAAATACATGAAAAAATAAATACAAATGGATTTCCAAAGAACTAATTTAAGATATATCTGTATTTACAGATTAAATGTATGTATAATTACCTTGCTCTCTTTTCTGAATTTCTTCTTTAATATTCTGTTCTTGTTCCTTTTTGCTAATTTTTCTACTAGGCTTACCAGATGATAGATATGCCCCCTGTTGTACAAATTAAAGACGAAAATAGTTTGATTAATTTTTGTTTTCAATGAAAGAAAGATCGTGTTACCTAAATGTATTGTACGGGCAAATTTCAGCGCCATTATGCTACTCAACTTTCGTTGCAAAATACGAACCACGTGTTATCTCATTAACCATGAAACGTTAAATTCGGATTGTAAATGCCTTTCTTTACAATAACAGACCGAAACATCGGTAAAATTTAATTAATATTGATACATTATTTTACCCATGTTTACACGATTGTACCTTCGAGGTTTTGCGTATATTTGGTAGACGGACTCTTTGACTACTCATTTCAGATTCCTCTTCATCTTTTTCATGGTTTTCTTTTGGTGGTCCATCTTCATTTGGTAATGGAGGTAATTTGAAATCTTCTTCGTCGTCACTCAAACGCTTGCTGGCATTGATTCTAGCCTTGTGCTTGTTAATGATTGTGTCGTAGTTCAGAACGCCCAATCTCTCATTGGGGTTGTTTAAACCTGGTAAACTCTGCTCCTAAATTTAAAGAATCTTCAATAAATGCTTTATATCAATTTCGAATAGGTAGATAATTGGATAAATGGCAAAATCATTGAACCTGTTACAACATTGCACGATCGTAAGAGGCGACTTAATTTTGGATCCAATCTTTTCTTTCTAATCACCGTTCCCCCCAATGTATCCCTTGGCACTGTTCCACTTTCAAAGTAGAGCGTTTGTTCCTGTAAAGAAGGCTTCAGAAGATTCTATAATCTGACCCATTTATACTCCTTTTTGCGCCATAAAATATGTCGTAAGCAGTTTAATGCCATGCTTTTGTGTAGATAACCTATGGAATTGAAACGTTTCATTTGCAACAGTTCTGATTCGGTCTCATATCAAACACATACAGCATTCATTCCGACAGATTAGATCAATCAATCCTAATCCAAGACAATAATATTCTGCGATAAGAAATTCAATAGAACTTACTGAGGTAAGAGTGCATGTTTAAAATAGTAAAATCAAATGACCAAAACAAAAGACATGTAAAGGGCTGGAAATAAAACGTACCAGTCGCCTTTCCATTTCGTATTGGGATTTATACGCTCCCGGTTCTGACTCCCAACCCTTCCAGGTCTCCGAGGGCTCAGATCCCCTTGAAGATAGCGTGAGACTCCGTTGCCTTTTTTGGTAAGATCGTCGTTGCCATGTGCCGTATGGTTTGCGCTTTTTATCTTTTTTCCTTTTATAATCTGAATAAAAATTAAGTAAAAGAAAAATTATTGTAACAACAACTAAATAATACCATACCTACATGCTTATTTCAATCTTCATTCAAAACAAAGTCTTAATCTAAAACGAAATCTTATTTACAACAAATTCTTAACGGTCAAAGACAAAGTAATCAGGGCAAAATATAAACAAGAACAAATTGCACTGATGCCCTTAAAAGTTGAAGATAGGCAGGACCACATATCAAAGACAATCATGGTCCGGATATCTAAACGTTGTTCTAAAGACATATAAGTGAAAAGCACCTTTCAATACAAATTTAGAGCTAGATAAAGTAACGCCGAACACTGAAGTAAACGTATTCATACAGCTGTCTCGATCTTTTAGAACTCCTCAGTGATGTCAAGGGTCTAAATTTTGAAGCCTAGGAAGTGACTGAGGAAAATCCAAAGTGATTGAAAGAAAAATCTAAATCTAGACCGGAAGGTTTACTTGCCCCATATTACAATAAATCATTTTACAACAACGTCAAGTATATCTGTATATGATTGTTCCATTACCACCAGTTGCTGTAGAGTAATTCCTACTAAAGTCATATTAAATTTCCCATCTGGTCACAAAATACAAAATAAAGGCCATGAATTTGATCTTGTCCAAAATGGTTATGAATAATAGATACTTCTGCTTACTTGGATCAGATACCATGATTTCATCTTCTGTTTGTGGCAGCACTTCTTTCAGTTTCTTTAATACTGATAAGCTTCCCTGTAGAAAAAATAATTGATATGTATTATGTGTATTGACGATCAAAACGATCTTTGCAGGAAACAACAAGAAAATACCAACATGTCAACTTAATCATAATCTAAATTCAATAAAATTCAATAAAACTAAGGCAAAGTATGAACAAAAGAAGAATATTATGGAGACTCCTGAAAAAGTACAAGAAGAATAAGACCGGGTGTTCCGGGAGAGTAAACGTCTTATGCTTCTTCGACGACACCCGCCATATAAATTTTGGTAAACATGAAATAATATTATGATTATATATTTGAATATAAAATTATACATTGTTACATGTTTGTAACGTATTTAATACATAATTGCATTAGAAATGACTGATTAAAAGCCTGGATCGTTTTAGTTGATTCAAATAGAATTGAAACCTTGTTACTAATAGGCACTCTGAAATTTGATTTCAAAAGAAGCCGAGGAAAACTGACACATATTAACACCAGTCTGTTATGACTTGGATTAACTTTTGTATCAATGATTATACTTACCGATTTTACAATGTATATCCACTCTGAGTGGTTACTGTCACGGACAAGCACTTGACCACGGCTGAAATATGAAAATAGCTATGAACTTAATTTATGATCGACTAACCACTAGTCCAGACCAGACAATTATGCTGGTTAAAACAATGGAATAGGCTTCTCACATATAGTGTATCAATACAAATGAATATTCATAATTAGACACCAATACATAACTAAATGTTACTTCATCCTACACAGAAATCAAAAGAGGTACAATCTCCATTTCAACATTTTATTCCTTTGACCTGTACTACTGAAGCGTATAAATGGACGAGACCTTGAGGGTAGACAGTCAAGGGGGTCTACTCTCAGAGCACGGCACACCGAGGTCTATCAAATAAGTGAAAGCAATCTGGGCATTCTTATCCCTTCACCAGTACACGTAAAATCCAAGACATATCTGTTTTTTTTTTTTTTTTTTTATTTTGAGCACTAAATGTATTAAGACACTAAAATACAACGTGTGAAATATCAACAAATTTCATTGCTGGCATACATCTATAAACTCTCAGGACATTGATAATATAGGAAAGAAAAACGATTAGTACATTATGACATGTCCTAACTTGAAAGATAGATTCAGTAATTTTAAGAATGAAATGTGTTTGCACCTTTTATTTGGTGATGAATTAAATTTGTCATCACGTAAAGTCATAAATCAAGAAGATATAAACCAGGAAATTACCATTAAATTGGAAAATTTTATACGGCCCATTCATTGTGTTAAATCTTTTAATACGAGGAGGTAAGTTAACAGCGAATAGTGAAAACTCTTCTGGATAAAACGTTTCAATGGAATGCCATTTATGTTGGCCGAGAAGGCAATGTTTATTGCTGACAACTTATCTTGATCGTAATATCCTGAGGAATGTCTGAAAATGTCATGAACTCCAGATAACTTACTTAGAAGATGCAAAAATGGGGGTAGAATGCAATAGTTTGATTTGAAATAAAACCTGTACCGATCTGTTTGTGATGTATTCTTGAGTTCCAAGAAACGACTTAATTTGCAATAGTTGGTCTTGATTTAATAAATTCGATACAATTTAGATTGTAAATTTCACGGAGCAGCTGGGAGTACTACATGAACAAATAATGAATGAATCATATGAAACTTCTGCTATTGTAAATATTCAGTTCGATCTCCCCTGAACTTTTTACTCATAACCACTGTATGTTTCTTAACACTATAAATGCCTATTAATAAAATCACATAAAAAGAACACCCATGATAGTGTTATTCTCTTCATTGTACGGTATTTCTCAGTAAAGATGACACGTGATCTTTTTAATCAACATTCCGGTGGTATTAATGTAACTATCTGTTATGACATTGAACAGTGTAACAGTGTCTACGACACGACCTATACATGCACAGTGTGATATATATTTTACGATTTATTAACGATATTACAGGAAATTGGACAGGCACGAAAGATCTTTGAAATGCAAATGCGCTTTATATAAAAGGTGTTTAGTTAACGAGATACGCAATAGAATTAAAATCTGGCTGTTTATGATGGTTTCGTATCCACGCACCCTACGTACAAACCCGGAACGTCGATATAGAGAGTGCGAGACAATTCTGATATAAGAAACAGCATGATGCCGATCCTAGTAAGATGGTTCAAAAGACACAGAAGTGAATAGCACCTTTAATTACAACACCAGAGTTAGAAAGAGTGGAGTCAAACAATGAATACATTAATTAAACTGCATCATAGTGCAGTCTCGTCCTTTTAGGTCTAGTGAGTGATGCTAAGGGCTTAAATGTTGAAGCCTAACACGCAATGGAGGAAAATACAAAGTGATCAAAAGAAAAGTCAAAATCGAAGTAGAGCGGTGCACTAGCCCCATAATTCAATAAATTTCGTATTTTTTTTAAATATATAATAATAATATAAGAACAACGTATGAGACTTCACACTGTATAGATAATTAACATACAATGTAGCACAGAATTTCTGAACACAATATTATACATTTGTATACAGTATATATACTTTGGTATTACATTGTGACGATGTAACATTACCAAGTAATATAAACACATTCAAGCTTCCTCCCCTTTAAGATCTGATCTACTATTAGTTGGTATTTCTGGGTAATATAAATAACAAGTTTACAGAGCAGTTAAATTCTACAAAGAATATTATTCGATATATAGAAATTAAAGTAACCGTGCATCCTATGTCCGAGTCTCATAAATTGTAAACCAATTCTGGAAAATATCGTTTTTGAAGAGGAAGCCTTATCGGCTAGTTTTGTTCTAATCGATTAACAAAATACCGTTTCTTATACAATTAGCTTTACATTATTGATTATACATAGAAAGAAAAACAGAAAGTTCGTACACACATTACATTCACTTGTTAAAACGACATGAAAGAAAACGTTCATTTACCATTTGTGTGAGATATACACTGAAAATCGTTTTTCATGCCTTGGCTATGTTCCAAACTCAAAATTTATTGGAAAAATGAAATGTGTCAGTATTCAAGTATATCGTTAAGCTTTTAAATGTAACATCCGTACACTATAGTTAAATACGTTGTGTACTTAAGGATTAGTAAAAGGGTATACTGTCTATGTGATTCCGCAATTGTTTATCTTTCAGAGGACATATAGAAAATCGTTATGCCATAGTCATATGTATTCAACGAAAACTTTCTGGTCAACAAACATACAAACATGAAAGTATCGACTCATTGAAGTTAATGTCGATAGTGTTATACGTGTTAAACAATATAGGGCGTTTCTAGGGGCGTATAGAGGTAACAAGGAGCATCAATTACAATTAATTTCTGATAAAGAATATGCTCTCGTGTTTGCGGGGATATGAATTTCGATTCCGCCCATCCTTAGAGATTTTTCGGCGTACAACTAAAAAAGCGTTCTACAGATCTGTGCAAGACTTTGATCACGTATCGGGCTATTGTCCTATTAGAATATTTTGCTGCTGGAGGAATTTCATTTTTGATATTATATCTGTTACCATGGCATCATTTCAAACAAAATAACAAGAACAAAATACAGGTGGAGACTTATCAGTAATCTGGTTATCAGATACATAGGTAATAAGTTTCATATTACGACTGAATTTAAGGATAAATATGTATATACTTATGTACCTTGTTTTCATTTGAGCATGTGACATTACATACTTGAACTTACAAAGATTTACACGGAGGGTGTCGTCGATGAAGCAGGAGACGCTTACTCTGCCGGAATACCTGGTTTTATTTATCTTTGTACTTTTTCAGGAGTCTCCCTGTAAATCTTTCTTTTGTTCATAGTTTACCCTAGTGGCATTGAATTTGAGTTTGAATTATGATTATGGTGACATATTGGTATTTTCTTGTTGTTTTGTGTTGATTGTCATGATTTCCGTTATGCAGTTTGTAAAATGAACTACCTATATTACACGTATTTTAGCCTGTACGTTTTTCAGTTGATTTTGATCTTAATATCTTAATAATATTAATAACATAATAATTCATTTAGGCGTAAGTCCAAAGAAAATCTAAATATGCAAAAATAGTGTATGTGTTAAGCTTTACAAAACGCAATGAAGTTAGGATTTATCACTAAAATGTATCTTGGAGAATAGAAAACCCGTGTCTAGAGAGATAACGGGAGACTGTTAGAGATATAGATGAAAGATGAAATTTAAGCAGTTACATAAATCATTAAGTCGAATTAAGCTGTATAACTTTTTAATATGTAAAATAAATCAGGATAGAATCTTTATCGTAGGTCCAAATTTATATATTCATAGTCATATTTAAAATTTCGTTCAATTGCTCAATAATTTTCATGCAAGAGTTTTTATCTAATTTTAATTCACATACTTACTTGAAATAATGGAACATGCATGCATTTGGATTTTGTGCAAGTAGATGGACAGGCCAGTTCTTCAGAAACCGTATATTCCTGGAATTAATAAAAGTTAATGCATCTTCAAGTTTTGATCCTGACATTTCCAACACACCAATTAAAATAATAGATTTTCAGCAGAGTTTACAAATAGCAATATGAAACAGACGTCAATTCCGCAGATTCGGGCACATGGTGCGTCACTCCTTCCGAACTCAGTATTTGTCTACTCAACATTTACGCCTGACTAATAAATTCCTGTAGACATTAGAAACGGTCCTCTGACATTCCAACGACCGCTATCAGTAGGCAAACCCTTACGGTCTGTCGATCAAACTGTGTTACAACGTTGACAAGTCTTTTGTCTCTAATGTTTCATTTTCATGATAAAATATATGAAATTGATAAGTTCGTGTATAGTTTCTAATCGATCTAGGTAACAAAGGCGGCTATACTCGCCGGGATATCGTTCTCATGGACTAACGCGCGGGAACAAGTCCAAGAGCAACAAAAAAAGTCCTGAATTAGTCGATGAAGGTTAATGATGACGTTATATGTATTATATGAGGTTGTTGGGTATCCCCGTACACACTAAAACTTAAGAGTCGATACATTGATCAGGCATTAGGAAAAGGGGCGTATTGATTTCAACGTCACCAAGCCTTGGGCAGTCCTTTAGGGTAATGACAGGAGTTTCAATACTTAAGTCAGTTTTCTCCTGCTGTTTAAATTTTCTATTTCATTTCCGTATCTGTAACGTTTACATATGATTCCAACAGTCGACATTCCTTTAAATGTTAAACTGTAATCAAACATAAGGCGCATGTAGCGTTAAACTGCATAGATAAAGAGTTTAAACGTAGCCCCCCGTGATCCCTTCGATACTACCTGGTGAGTACCGAGGACCATGTCAATGTTACCTGTGTTGGTGTATTGAAAGATTGATTATATTCTAGCACTTGGTCTGAATGTAATCTACACTAAGTTACATTGTAATAAAATGGGAGTTCATCTAATAGTTTACTAGAATAAAACGGTATGAGGAATCCGGTTATGTGATGAAGACCACTTCTTGGCTTTCATCTTTTATCAACAATCATTATGATCAGAAATGTGTCTCAGTACAATAACATATTGTTGTCGTGAATAAGTGTATCTCATTGTTCAGTTACTGTAACGTCTATATAGTAACAGAGGGCTCTAATGAAAACTAATACAGAACGGGGCGTACTATTTGTATAAATCCAATGTTACTGATCGTTGTAGAGTAAACTCAATAAGCGTGATTTACAAATGCAGTATACAATATCTATTCATTCATATGAAACAACATCAAAAGGAGATTAATTAGAAAATTTTCTGACAGGTTTTATGGTATTCACAAATGTTGATGGTAAATGATTTTTTATCCAGACATAGTCATAAAACATCTAAATACAATACTACATATCATTTTCCTCTGCCATAGATTATCTGATTGGAAATATTGAAACATTTCTTCACTACCGAGTAAGTCAGAGATTTGAAATATGATTATTATGAATGGTCTCTTTGAAAATAATCTTACTCAACAAAATCCTTTTCATATTATGAACAGCGTGATCTTTATATATAACACCATGTTTTAGACACGCCGATATTTCATTGATTGCGTGCCAGTCTGGCGACACTACGTTCAGAGTCAATTTACCATGCTAATGTATACACCAACCTGTACTTAAAACACAATGAACTATCGCACAGAAAACATCCTTCAGATTTTAATTAGATGCTAGCTGAATGAAGTACACAAGTACATGGACTTTATATAAGTTTTAAGAGATATTTGTCAATAAAGGCGTTCGATAGAAATCAGCTTATTTATGTTTGTCTTTTTTTATAATTCATAATTACATAATATGTAATACTACATTGATAACATGAAAATAACATTTCACCGTCATTTTGTTGCTGTACATATTATAACAACTTTACCGATACAAACAGCAAAAACTTGCAAACCGGCCAAAAATCTCATATATAGGCCTTATTAACGGTGTAAATTACCAATATGTTTGTAATAAGTATTAGGAGTGTTGACATTTTCTCATTCCTTTGATTGTACTTTTCATATACATGAAGTTTCTATCGATGTTTTGATGTTGTGTGTACCTGCGTAAGTCAGTCTTTGTGTAGTTTTATAAATGCATGATACTGAATGAGTGTTGATAAAGCCTTTGACCTATGTCAATAACAGCATGCTCACACCTGTGAGCTCGTTTTATAGATTTATTTCAGAATAAACATATGACATTGCATGATAAAATATATTGCATTTGAACTTTGTTTCATTAGAAGCTGTCATTTGTATCATAGATTTTCTTCTTGTATTCTAGCTTCTTTAGGGATTAACCAGAACCTCAATCGAGCCATATTATATAAGAATAAATTGCCAAGCTGAAACGGTTGATTTTTTTATTAGAATGAAATGCTTCTTTGCATGAAAGATCGCAGGTGTTCGCAACAACTGGGTTTTTATCTTTTTTGACTTTCTCTCCTCTTCTTCACAGGTCTGACATGATTCAGAAATAAGTACAAAGAAAGTATCCATCTATCTAAGTACACAACATAAAACCCATTCGTTGAATCAAACACGTTTACGCAGACCAATTGATATATTCAACCGCATTTGCATTAGAACATACTGTAAATCTGTATTTTCGCGTGTTTTAAATTTCACGGATTTTCAAAGACAACAAACGAGTGCTATCATTTTATCAGTATACATGTACAGACGGATTATGAAGATTCCACTGATTCTGAATACTTACTGGATGAAAGTGTTGTGATCGGGGTCGGTTACCGTCTTTTTACCACCCGCCATAAATATATCTTCGAAATCCTGTAATTTACGAGCATTCATTATAAAGAGATATTTTACAAAGATATGGATGAATATGGTAATATAGATGTTGATCTATATAAATCTGAGCCATATTAAGGTAGTGAGATGAAACAAACAAAATATGAATTCATCATCATTTATATATCTCCATACATAGTATACATCGTTCTTCCATCCATCCACCCACCCGTCCATTCATCCATCCATCCATTCATACATCTATCTTTGCTTCATTAAACCTTTCCGTCAGTCGCGGTTATCAAAACATCGATATCAATTAAAGAGGTTTATTAATATAACAACTCATAATACTGTACTTATCAATATTATACTTACTTCACCAGATATACAAAGCAGCTCTGTAGCAGTCTGTGTACTAACTGTGGCTTGCCTCCTGCTCTGGGAGATCACAGCTAGTTCCTATATATACAACCGGGGAAAAGTCACCGAATTGAATTACAACAATTTAATGTGATTAAACTCACACAGAACATGTACATACACATCAAGTCCATAACTTGATCTTTTAAATCTTTTAACACATCTAATCGACTTTAAAATCCGTTTAATGATTGAGTACATTAAAACTAAATTAATTTAAGTCGATATCCTCACGTATTCAGTTTCATGTTTACACAAGCGATACTTGGCAGATTTTCCCCAGGGTAGATTACTGTACCCTATAAAAACCAGGTATCTTTCTTTAATTTATTTATTGGATGTCAACTGTCAACATACACTCGCGATATATTTAAAATACGGTTAATATCAGGCTATCAACAAAAAATGCACTTACACGTTTCAATCATTTAACAGGTTGTGTTTTACAAAATGATTAACTCCTTGTAGAAGGTCAAAGCAGCGGTAGTTTTTCATAATTGGTTTCTTGGTGAAATGATATATGGTAAAACACCTACCTACCTTCATATTTCACCTTTTACCAATATATTTCAAATCCACTTTCTTTTACCAGCGGCATTTATATTGCTATTTTTTGCTTCAATTTAACGGATACACGTTTTAGGAATTCAATGGTAGTATTGAGAATATGCTATACGTAATTTGTATATCACGATTTCTGAGAAATTAGAATGATGGTATAAAAGCAAAGGCCAACACAATGTGTTTATCAAATTAACTCTTATTTATTCACCGTGATATTAATTTATCTATTATGTATGTGATCCCGTGACGAATATTATAACATTATAAAAAAAAAAGTCCTTTTCTTGCAGAATATTGACCTAGAATTGTGTTTCTTGTATTAGGTCTAATTGTCTGTTTAATGGCAAGGGTAAGTTACATGATATCCCACCCAGTCACAGTATCCGCCAAAACTATATAGCATGCAGAGTGTTTAAAGTACTAGTTTTATAGACTTCTGTTTCTGTTTGTCTTAGACAACAGACCAGGCACATAACCTTCCTAGTTCCAGTGACGTTCTGAAATATGGCCAAAAGCAAAACAAGGTCCTATCAGGTAAGTACTGTAATTGATAAAAAGATGGATAAAGATGTATACTTTAAATGGCATTATAGTAACAAATGGATTTCGATGATAGAGTACAAATATTAAATCCGGATTAAGAAATGTTTCCACTTTAGTCGCCTCCTAGCTAATGTACCTTTTAGAAACATGTGTACGATTCTATTATTCTTGGATCCTTAGCATTACCGAAAATTCCTTAAAAAATTGAACTGTTTTATATTGCTTTTCATTCATATTTAGACAAAAGAAATGTCCATGAATTCATAAATTTGTTATTCACATGACCCCCTTTTCTGAAGTCACGAATTGCGTTGGTTATATATGTGTGGACAAAATGAGCTAATGACATGCAGAGTAAGATATCAAATATGTCTTAGTAGACCGATATTTCATAAAGACAGAATAGACTGTACACGCAATGAAATGACGCAAGTCAGTAAGTTTCGTACATCGAATCAAAGTGTAGAATGATGAAAGAGTATCATAAGCATGAGGTCATGGTTCATTGGGCGTTTAAAAAAATGCATTTGCATAATCGATAGAAATCATGAATGTGACGTGTCAATATTGTTCTTATCGGAAGACATTTAAAGTTAATTCCCACCTTAGTTATTCAAAATATTAAATCAAATGTGATCGGAATGCTTGCAGTTCATGATTTAAGAGGGAGTGGTTACATTTATTACATTACAGAATTTGTTTAGCCTGTTATCGAAGTGCACATTACAGTTTATTACTTCCCATCGATGTGTTATATCAAATATAACATTTTTGCCATAGAATTCTAAATGGCCTTCTGGGAAAAAATCAATCTGATACTTTTGCTATCTGAAATGGTAATCCTGAACATCAAAGAGTCCATTACAACGTACTTATCAATACGTTTTATTTTAAAATTTACAATTCAAATATAGCAGTTTACCATCATAAGGGTTATTTGGGGAAAATCAATAAAAATGTATCATGAAACATACGTTGGCTAAAATGCTATACTATTTTCTAATCATGGTGTAGTTTTGTATGTGCTCGTCCAGGTTACAATAATTGTATCCATGTATGAACTTCGGTCTTAAGTAGATCACAGTAACCTAGTAAAAGTGCAAGGCACATGCATGTAGATAATGACCATATTAAGTACTATTTATTTTTCAGTTAGACATCGTCCAAAAGTACTTTCCTAATGTAATAAAACATTTTCATTTATTTGGAGAGCAGGGAACAGTGACCTATATTTTCAGTACAATGCACATCGTTTATAAAGGAAAGACCTGGAAATCAATGCACGTGAATTTTCCACTAATTAGACATTTGCGGTGAATGTCTCAGTGGTTTAATTGTAGTTCCCTGCACACAGAGTGTTGGTGATACAATTCTGTTTTAGTCTCATCAACACATCTCCAATGACTTCCAAGCTCGAAGCAGTTATTCAATGGAGCTTGTAAAGAATATTACAGAACTGTGAACAGCGAAACAAACAAACTGATAAGTTGTAACGTAACTTACCCCGAAGGACATCCCCCGATGAAGACTGACTAATAGCTTGGTACCGCCATTGTCCTTATCAAACGCCGTAACGATTACTGTAATATATTTTTAAAAAGTATAGTTTTATGTATAATCACAAAGGAGTATGTATGATTTGGGTCAAATACGCCTATTTGTATTGTATACAAGCACGTCATCGTACAGTTGTTTTAGAAATCCCTAATGAAATACAACATAATCATGTTACTTTATAGTCGTATGGGCCTACTAGAATTAGATGAATTATTGTTTAGTATCCATCATATAATGATGAGACATTTTGTAATATAAAAGGAAGAAAATAAGTGCATTGTCAAAATATTGCAAATATTATCAATAATAAAGACCTTGCTCTGTTAATTTAGCAACATCAGCACATTTCAATGATAACTGTGCATGGTTCTACCGTTGAGTTCGAACAATCAACATCCAAATATCCAATATAAAACTACTTCAAACATTCTTATCACCGTTGATTTCACGATTTAACCTATCTCAAAACTTTTACACAAGTGATCTTTGTTTGTGATTGTTATTGATTGTTTATCCAAACATATCTCTTCAAATAAATCCAAATAAACATCATGTCTAGAGTTCAAGTCAAAACGAGTTCGCATGGTATATATAGTCCTTAAACTAATCAGCCTGAACTTTAAAGAGTATTATCATGCAAATAATTATCATTTAAAATTGGTTTTCGCCTTTTATAATATGTTTCATCTTCGTGAATTTATTTTGGTTACCGTCCTTTTCTGGTGTTATCAAGTCATATTTAATTTGTAAAATGGAAAAGTCGTTAGCGTTTAGATACAATCAAAACATTGTTAACCTATCACAGTATATGGTTATATGGGGAGGTCTCTGGTCGTGTTTGCTGGTTGATTGTACATCTGTTTTCCACCTTAAATCTTCATTATTGTGTTCATGATTTAATTAAAACGAAGCTTCATTAAAATCAGTATTGAGTTACCGATTCAAAACATAGAGTGGAAGCGTAATATACGTCTTTTAAGATTGGTTAGAAATACATCGACAGATTGTCGCTTGGCTTTATGCAAAATACCAGATTAATGATTCTTCAAATAGTCCATGATAATTGCATACTTTCGTTATTTCTATACCGGAATGGTGTTGAATTTAAATGGATGTCAAAGATGAACGAAATATTATCTGCAAAACATGGGTGGGTGGAGTTCAGTTTACCTGCCGGATATGATACATCAACGAAACCTATGAATAAGCGTGTATATGTATTTCTGTTGTTTATACGTAGCTACACTATACTTTCAATCTTATAAACCAATAATATTTTGAAAGAGATTAATATTGAAAATATCGGAATTTTTGTCAATATTCGATTCAAGATTGTAAAAAATCAAATAATTCATGAGAAATTCCACGGTTATGAGATTAAGATGTAATGCACAAAAACCACAGAAGTAATACATTTCAATAAAAAGAATCAAAAACATATTCGCAGTAGAGCCAAATTCTGAATCATACTCTTTAATCCATATAGGATCGTCCCTGACAAAAATACCATCGTAGTACAGATTATAGATTTTAGTCAGTCAATCTTACCGGAGTTGTCTACCTTAATGATATAACAATAAATTCGGGTTGATGGTGGTTGTTCTCAGAACGTCTCTGAAATATTCACTATAAATCGAGGTATTTCTAAATATCTTTCATCGTCTAATTATGTTTCATTTTCTTGTACAATGAACAGTTATTTTATGCTCAAAAGCTCGTCTGTCCTGCTAAGGGAATAAACGGTAAAAAAACTCGAATAGAAATGCTCAGTAGATACTGTATATACAATAATAGATTTACAATCTCATTATTGTTTAGAGGTGAATAATATGAACAGTGCGGTAAATTTCCCTTCACTTTCGCATATTTACCTGTTCCGTTGAGGATGAAGTAGAATGATTGAGGGCGATGTCCCTGTCGAATGATTGCACGACGCGGTTCATACCTGACACAATATAACCCCATTTAAGAATCTTGGATACATAGGATTTACAAAAGTAATGCTGGAGTCAACATTATCTACATTGATTCTTTACAGACATGAATGAAATGTTAGATGTAATGCATGTGTAAAACATGCAAGACGTGTTGCACAAGTACATATAATTTAAAATGTTCTTAAGATGTGAACTTAACAGTTGAGAATCATGATACCATTCAGCTATGACATACAATGTAATTGAAAAACCAAACAAAAAATCAAACAATCTAACAAAATTAAAAGTAGAAAATCCACATTAATTCATAACTGAAAACACTTATAAGGATACAGGGTACATAACTCCTATTCTATTGATTATCGAAATTATTCAGTAAGCGCGACAACTCGAATTACTTTCGGTCTTCAGATTTTGCTGTTTTAAAACATACTTACGATTCGAACCAGCCAACTTTACAGAGTTGTCGCTGCATTTTCTGTGGATATTCTGCAAACGCTTTGATTCCTCTCAATACGATACGAAGCTGTATAGGCAAGATACAAAAAAGTAAGACAGTCAACATATAAACAATATTATAACAACATTATATAATATGTACGATTTCTCCGTACATAAAATATTTAGCCAATTTGCCTGGTATTTCGTTTACTAACAGTTGAAGAGAAATGACAATTAAGTGTTCACATTTATGCTTTCATAATGGTATCTGTCAACCACTAAAAATTTCGCACTTAGGTCAAGAATCACGTTTCTGCTTTTGTTGCCTTTTTTTAGGGGGGGGGGGGGATTTTTTCCGTCGTAACTAAGTGATAGATTGCCCGAAATTTCCTAATGATAGAAGCTTAATATGACTTTTTATCTGAAAGGTAACATAATTTGAGTTGATACTTACATAGTCTATCTCTTGTTTTGTTCTTTTGCGCGGATTGTCATGCAGAATCCTTTTAGCTTCCTGCGGCATTCGGATCTGGTTAAAACGTATACATAACTCTTTATACTAAATATTATATCACAAAGTACACATCGCCAAATACGAATATCTTATCAATATTAGTCTTAATACATTGCAATGACGTCTATATTTGTTTCCACGTCACTTTTCTGTACATTCTTTGCAAATTATATGTTCCATTTACCAGAATAAAATACAGTCTATACTTACAACGGCACATTTTGCTAACGTAATGTGGTTAGTTTTGTGTAAAAATGATCGAGTAAATAAGTACAAAAATAAATACCGGTATACGGTTCTTTCGGAAACATTAAGTAATAAATAAGATCAATGGATTTATATATTGCCTCAAAGTAAACACTTCTCATCATATCTAAATGTATGTCAATTGTAGTACTTGTAATTGTGTTGTTATGATACATATATCTATACATCTTTTTTTTTAAAGAGACATGTCTGAAAATAGCGTTAAAACCGAAAACGAATTATTATCATTATCTACGGTTGATTTTAAAACATGCAAAACATATTGTGTTGGAATGTAACTTTCGCTTTTACCTAAACTACTTTCTGAACACCTCGTATACCTGTTTATTAGCTTTGAACTCGCTAGGATCGAAGAAAAGTCCACCTCTGTCCAGCTGGGCGTAGTCCTGGGATACCTGTATCACGGATAAATACTCTGCCTTCGACGCATTTACACTGCCAAGATAGGAACAACATTACTAAGTAAGTTATCATTTGACCGTTTTTATTAGTTTATGGAATTATTGAACGTTTAACATGAAAAGTCTTACATAACTCCGTGTTGGAGTAGAAAGTAAGTCAGACACAAATGAAAATATAGCAATAAAATTGTGTGTCCATTGTTCTCAAGTTAGATACAGATATAGGGGTATATAATAATGAATATACGTCTAACTCTTGTGCGCTTGCCAATTAATTGTTTTGGGTAGATAAGTGTACTTGCACTGATTAAGTCACTTTTTTGAGCGTACTTATTAATCATAATTTTTCATTGCGGAAGCGACAGATATGGCAGAAAGTGTGTCTTTATATTTAATGCCAGTTCTGAAACAATATTAAACCACCTGCATATGTAATCATTTGCTACTTTGTTAAGGACTTTGCATTACCACAAAAACTTTGATCACGTGAACATAATTTTCAATGATATTTGGAAACCTGGTTAATATCAAATGGAAATTACGTATCGCTATTGAATTTCTACATTTATGTTATTGAATAGCTGGGTAACTAAACTCACATATTTATATCAAAAAGTTCTGAACTCGTCAACTGTTGACCTTTGGTCAATCTTTACCTGATGAAAAATAGACTTAATGTTGTTCACACTATTTAGATTATTGTGTTATACATAGAATTTGAGTGTCATCGGTAACCCTTCTAACACTTAAGTGGAGACCGACCTTCAAAGGCTTGACAATTAGACAGCCTATGTAATTATGTAGAAATCAAACGCGAGATCAACTAGGTAAATGTAGCGGCTCAATGTTCATACGATTACACTTAAAGTTCATACACATCAATATCTTATTTAGTGTCAAGTTCGTGATTTCTCTGACATAGTTTAACTATATTCTAAACACTTCAGTCTTCTTTATTGATTGTCGTTATTGATACAAAGAGTGGAAGTATTAAGTCCGATGACCCCACCGTAGATAGAATGGGATCATTACTTTGTAATATATGTTTTACTCAAAAATAAAATCAATAGGCTATAGAGTTGTATTTGAACAAGAAAATCGAGAATTGGTATACTGCTGTTAGCAGTAACATTGATATCACACACCAAGAGTAATTACGAATACTGAGATGAAAAGAATGTAGAAACGTTGCATGAGTTTTTAAGAGCGACATTAATTATACATATAATACATAATCGGTATGTTTTTAACTTGAACGACGAAGAATTATCGATATCCATCAATTTCTGGACTAATTGACATATACGTAAAGCTGTAAATAGATTGTTGCTCCGTTAACACCAATGTAAAGTGACTTACAGATGTCAGTTGAAAACATGAGGACTTTCCATCTCAAACTTGACAACTAATGTTATATTCTGTTTTCGTTCATAGGTATATATGAAGATTGTAGAAAGTATACCAAATTGAATAAATCTGTAGTTAGATAATTAGAGCCAAAGATGTATACTAGTAGAGATTTAACGTCTAACCACTGTACAATGGTAACAATAAACTCGTTTTTGCTTCCATAAACCTTAAAGTACCTTTCGAACTTTAAAGTCAATTTGTTAATCATATGTTTGTCATGTAAGATTGTCCACAATATTGTACCATTTATCTGTGTGTTCATGCATTCCTAACTTACGTTTCATGTTAAATACTAATCAAAAAAGCTTTCTTAATCATTTGCTTTTATCATTTTATCCTTTTTGTAGTTAACAAATCGTGCAAATCTCCTAAGACACGCCAAGCAATTATTTTTCAAAATTATCTAGCGATATAAGTGCATCTTCGTTTATTACACAATAATTATACCTGCTTATAGTACTGAGAAAAAAATGGAAAACGGAACTTGAGTAAACAGAACTTAAAAGTTGTGTCAACAAATATTGGTTAAACGAAGGTTATATATAGAGCAAAATAAATAATTGGTCATAATACAAACGATTCTACTCAACTATGGAGTGGAGGAATAAAACTCCCATATATACTGTTATGTAATATGTCAAGATATATACACTTATACAGCTAGAATATGTGTACACGTTATAATATTTACTTGAAATTAAACAGAAGATTTCTGTCTCAGCTTTATGTTCATTTTTGAGAGCTGTAATAAGTTATGAAGGTACGCAATTCCATAAAGCTAAACAGAAATGGCGAAAAATAGAAATAGAAAAGACTGAAAACCTTTCTGTCCATCATATAACCAAGAGTTTCGCAATTTCACCTCGAAGAAAGACAAAGAATAATCGACATCGTGACTTAATTTCTTTTAAAATGAAATTGGGCGTCGATTAAAGTCAAAAGCAACTTTTCATTTAGGAAAACGACTATAAACATTTGATATTTAAAGAAACTAAAGTCTAGAACCCACATCATATAATGTCTTTGTAAAGTGTAAGTCATACTGTTTTTATTTGATATCTGAAAGCCTAAATTACATTTAAATGTATGACAGAGGTCATAGCCTACTGATACTTTTAGCGCTCTTATCTAATATGGTTTATCGCTCTAAGGTCACATTCTTCCCGATCACGGAGATATCGCGTTATTTCACCAGCTGATTTAAGGAGATAAAATGAAGAGCTGTTCGAACATTAATCGAAATGTATTTATACAAGGTACTCCATTTTAAATGGATATAACATCCACGTTAGCAAAGTGTATTTAGTCGTAGCCTCTCTTGTACAGAGCGTATGTGGCCAGGGAAACTTATCATAATAGACATAAGCAAACTCACAAATTGATGGTCCTTTATTCATGCTACTCTAACATAATATATTTTCATGGTGCTCAATTTTCGTGGTTATTTTCCGGAAATTTCGTGGACATATGATTTCGTGGACAAAATATATCTCTATGAATATATCAAAACGACAGTTCATGGACATATGAATTCATGGATTTAGAATACCCACGAAATCAACGGGATTAGCGAATATCTGTCAGAATTCACAATATTTCATCTAAATTATTATGTGAGCGTACTACAGATCACAGTATAGTGTGTCTCAAATGGCTTTAAAAAACAATAAGGTCAAAAGAGTAACATGTATGAGCTCTATCCTGACCTTGACCACACGAACATTTATGTCAGTGTCAAGTGCCCCATGTTTAGGTCATAAGTATAAACTAATAAGTCAAGATCACAATACTTTTATCTCATTCCGATCACTATATTACGAGTGTCAGGAATATGAAATAATCGTTAAATGAACTTCAACTTCTACGATAGTGTGATTAAATGTTTCCTTTTTATGTTAATTTTATATTACATCTATTGAACCTGATGAAGATTTGAATTCTTCATACAACACATTAATGAAACAGACCAACTTGAAGGCCATTTTCCCTTCCGGCTAGCTTGGCAGTGTTTGTGTGTTTGAATCACTTTTTTATTTCAAACAAGTTTGCCTAATTGTAAACAAAACGCAACCTATTTCACCAATATTCACCTGCATTGGTAACTACCTTAATAGTTAAATAATCAATGTTATATTCAAATTTAAGATATACATAAGTTTCTATGACGATGTGGGATGTTAAGCTGCTCAACCCAATCTCCTAAATAATTTGTAGAATAAATATGTCACGATTTCACATTTTATCTTAGATCAACGTTTGGGAAATGAATACCTAGGACTATTATTATATATTTCGATACCACCAATTACACATAATTTAGCAATAAATATGAGATATTAGGCTAGATTAAGAGATAGTACCATGCCATTTCCATTGTGCAATATCATAAAAAGGATTACTAATAGCATAAATATGATTACACATTATCGGTAATACTTACATTAGCCTAACGAGATTTTAATTAAAGTGTAGTATGCATACATGGAATCAAGATAAAAATGTCATATTGACTTGATGGCAATTTTGTGTTACTACATGATTCCATTTGCCAAAAACGCAACAGCTAAAGAGTAATTTGTTTCAACACCAGCACCTTGCCAACATGTAAAGTAGATATTTGATAAAATCAATAATAACAGAGAATGCGTACCAATAAACTACATTACCTAAGTACATAGTGTATTTACTTAAATTAAAATTCTTAAATACGCATAGGTTCTTAATTGTTTGCGAAATGGGACAATAAAATCAATTTTAGACATAATGTATATCTTTATATAGCTTAATGTAAACCGCTAAAGTAGATAATTAAGATTAAAACAATATATATATATTCTGGAATTGTAATGAAAGAGAATGTTTCTATCTTCGATCCGAACATCACATCGCACGGACTACGAACACATTTGTTTTTAATGTGATGTATTTGTAGCGTAATGGTGTCATTGTTGTCGAAAACATTTACCTACAAATAGAAACTGGAAAAGTGTTTTTTAAACAAACACTAAAGTATCACCTTTGAAAGATTACCTTTGAAAATAGTTGTTTAAAAAACATGCTTTGAAAATGCCATGGTCGAGAGTTAATGACAGAATAAAAACATATTGAACAAGAATAGCTGAAGCGATGACAAATTAAAGTTAAGTTGGAATACCTTGTTCTCATTTGAGAATTTGACATTACTTCTTTGTATAGATCAATGTCTATATAGCGTGTATTGTCGATGAAGCATAAAACGCTTTATCTTCTGGAACACCTGGCCTTATTCCCCGTGTAAATCTTCTTTTTTTTATATTTTGCCCTAGTTTTATTGAATTTGAGTTTGAATTACGAACTTATGGGAATGGTTGTATTAAATAATCTACTAAAAGACCATACTAACCTTTCGCGACTTTCCTGACAGAGTCTGCAACATATAACAGCTAGGCGGGCTAACCTTCGGAATCTCACCACAGGGCGGACATGTTTCTGTAACAGATAATGATGGCAAGGATAGTACTGATATTGAGCAAGATTACAAATTAATAACATTGTGTGATACAAGTTAAGAATTAGATAGCATGGAAGAGCCATATGATCAATCAATGTATCATATACAGATCTTCGTATTCAAGGAGGTAAAAAATTAATTAAAAAAAACACACAGATCTTCTTGACAAAACAGTATGTTAACACCAGTTAATCGATGCATGTCACGTATTGTTTATATTATTATGATCATCTCAGGATGATAGCTGTTTACTATATGACCTCATATCACGCATTTATCTATATTTTCTTTAGTTTATAAGAAAATTTCTTTTAAATCCCAAACATCTTGGTGACTGCGTTTGCAATGACAGCAACTTAATGGTATTGAGTATGCTTAAGTAAAACAGGGGATTTACTTAAAGACATATCTTCACAATAGTGCCATAATCATCTATATATAACTTAACACTAATCTATTTTCAAAGTTTGATAAAGTGAAGAGTTATATATGTATGAATGATACGTAGAAGAGGCATGCATTTATAAAATATAAGCTGACCGAATCATCCTACACATTACACATATACGTAGTGGGTATATCAATATTATTTTGCAATTTATATTCTAAATTTTAAACAATCAGACAATTAACATGGATTATACTTATCAGCATTTATAGAGCAAACTCGTTGACTCGTCGTTTCGTTAACGAATATCGCTACCATCGGATTGAGTTGTTTAGAACAAACGATTTTGTTGCGATTTGAAATACCTTTTCCCATGGAAGAAATGCGCCCAAAAACAACGCTGTAAGATTGACTTCATACAATCCACTGTCAAACACTTCGTCCATTAGCTTCCGCATGATCCGGCGACAAATAGTTATGTGTTACTGTGTTTAACACTTTAGGATAATCAACATTATATCTTAAATAGAACACCTTCACTCTTGGTCTTATTGTTGCTAAACAAAATCAGGGAAAACATCTGAGAAATACTCATCGCCGAAAATCCAAAACCTGAAGGTTGTTGACACGATTACATTTTACGAAAACAGAGCTGGTTGACGCAGTCTGTTTGCTCAAATAATCATAAAGTCCTTCTTCAGTAGATTCAACTTCCAGTTCACTCTTAACATATACACACCCATTTGGAATCTCTCCTATTTGCTTTTGGTACGTAAACAAAAGTTAAATATCCATGAGGAATATAGCTGGAGCCAATAGCTTGGAAAGAGGGTAGGCATTTAAATATTACTACATGGTCACTTCCAATTACTACGACGGTCAATTACTGAAATACGCCTTCGTTACAGAACAAACAGTACATATATACCTATATAACCAAATATATCCTGATGTTGACATAGCACAGACAAGTACACGTGGATTATAATGAGGAATCTATCAACTCAACTTTCTTTTAATTAGCTCCCAAAGCCAAGCATATGAATCCCTAGTCAGCCCACATCTGATTTCAATATGCAAATATACATGCATTTTGTCGGGAAAATATTAGACAATTTCAAGATCATAATTTGTTTTGGCATTCATTTTCAACAAAGTCTAAACCATATTTCATTTTTATATCTTTGAATCTATTCCAACATTTTATTGAAATCAGAATGTAAACTAACAATTTTTATCAAAAATGAGATTACAGTAGTAATTATAGATTAGAGTTTCAGTGTGTATTCATACAACAGTTCCAATTAACATAGCTTGTTGCTATACAGCGTCGACCGTGCTCACCTAATGACACTACATGCTCTTTAAAACATTTACACCAGTAAGTTCTCTGTATGATCGTTAAATGGAAAATGATATCTTGTAAGAGATATCCGCTTAAGTCAAAAGAATACCTTTGACAAATTTAGTTTAATTAACACCAGTTGGATATGCCAGAGAAAAAATGAATTCAAATGTTTTTGCTTTATGATCAAAAGACCGTAAATTGTAGTATTCATTCAAATTATAAACACTTACCTTTGCATTTTGAATAAATCGCCATGTGCTTCGTAATGCCCTCCATTTGGAAGGTTGAACAGTGTTTAAATACCTTGGTAAACAAAACTCATTTTCTCTGGTATAAAGACGCTTATTTGTTCCGTTCATTTATTTGCCACACACAAACTTTAAATAGAAAAACTAAAATAGAAATAATCCTACTTCTCTTGTACGTTTCCGCATCATCAATGGCTACACTTTTGTAAAAACATCGATTTTATGTACTTGTACTAGATATGATAAAATCTCATTGATTTTAGCTTTAAATTTATAGAACTGGAAAATCTACCTATCGATTAAGTATACATGTTAAAGTTATTGGTCATTAAAAGATCAACTTTGAACTAATAGACACCCCGACAATACCGAATGACACCGGAAAATCAATACATAGGCTAAACACTTGGTGTCATTTGAGCAGAAACTCTAATCTTAACATTGCTGGGGTATTTTTATATAAACAAAATAACATTTTGAAGGTAATTTAGCAGTGTAGATAACACCTCATTCGTGATTATGTGAATGGAAACGTTGATATTTTACACTTAAGAATGTTTTTTTTATGATAAAGAAGAACATGTATTTGTATCCGACTGACAACATAAAATAAAAATCTACAAATTATTTCTTTATAAAATACAGTAAATAGACCGAAAAACTTCCGTAAATTTTGAATATTTTATTGCATTTAAAACACAGTAATATACAAAATGTATGTTGAAAGCTGCTTTTAATTGAGGCCAAATATAGAACAATAATAATAATATGATTAACGTTTTTGCTTATGAGTAACTCATTATTTTGTATGTTTAAAGACCCAAAGGTCAGGTGAGATATCAAAAAGACAATATTAGCGTTGGTGAATCCCTTCAGACAGCAGGACTCAGACTACAGGAGACCTCCGGATCGTTGTACATGTACACAAATGTAATTGATAGGATAAGTTCAGGTCAGTTAGTACATATTTTTTTACACAAATCTATCACAGATAAGAACATTTTTGGACATTTTTATACAATATCTATTCCAGTAGAAGAATTTGATTTTGATTAAATTTTTTCTATGTGTTTAGGATGAAGCTTGACTAGAGATATTTTGTAATTTACTTGGAGTGTATAAGGGAAGTAATATTTGAATAAAAGTAGATATCTTAAACGCCGGTCATGAGGCACTTTTCAGCTGATTCAACTCAAATGATCCACAATGAAAACAATCAGATCTGTTTTAAAACGTTGTATAACAATATAAATTTCGTTTTCTTTGGTTGAAGATATATGGGAATTAATTTGGTCTGAGGCCAGCATGTGCTATTGACCTTAACGCTCTCGACGTCTAGTCAGGCCTACGGTTATTTGATTTAAGAGTGTGCTGTGATTTTAACAGCGGTCTCATTGAACAATTGGCCCTCCATGAGTTGTTTCAAGGTAAAGTATCAGTATAATAGTTTTAGTTATTATTTTAGGAACGTAAATTTACTATCTAACGACAAACACTTCTATTATGTTTTAACCACCAAACAAGAATGTTTGATTCACTCAGTCATAGAGTCAATGATTAACACCAACAATAATAAATGGATTTATGTTTGATATTTAAACGTGTGTTTACACTGGGTGTGTCTAGGGTCAGGCATACGTTTCGATATACCAATAGTGAGGAAATTTGTATATGTACAAAATTCCGTTACGTAGTGGAACTAAGCTTAAGAAATAAAACTACAAATATAGCTATGTTATTATTAACTGATGTGGAAGTAATGACCCTTGGCAAATCTCAATGTTTTGAAAAATGAAAAAGTCCTACATGGAAATAATGTTTTGTGTACACTAGTTACTGATGGTCAGAAAAGAGAATACTTTTTTAGAATCATACTCAAGACACATTTCCTTGTGTATCAAAATACTGTTAGAACATAAAAACTAATTTATTTCCCAAAATCTGTTACCAAAATATCCGCAAGATTACGCGTATCAATTACATTCTAATAGTAATTCAATATATACTCTGGACAAGTATCAGAGCAAACAGCTGATACCTCCACATTGACGCCTCAAGTCTTTTAAGACGTGATCTATTGCATGGACGAGAATAGAATTTAGCTTGCTGTGTTTCTTAATCTTCGTTCAAATTAATAATGTATTGAAGCAATATATATAGCCTACATATTGGATTCTGATTACTCACTATCTACTCCTACTGTGTGTTAAACATATCTTCTGTCGGCAATAGTACCTTTATCAACCAATCTGCGTTGATGATAATGACTTATTCAATTAATAAGACATTTTAGCATAACTCAAAGAAAGTCAAATTGAAACTATGTATTGAGTATCAATAGTCAACCATTAGACTACACACACGACTTTTGTATAATTTCATATTGAAACTAACACTGCACGGAAATGGTGATGCAAACACTGATTAAGATGGCATCCCTTTCATATCACGTAAGAAATATATCATTTCAAAAATTGTACATATAGATTCATGAAATAGATTTAGACATTCTTTTTCAGTTTGAAAGAATTTTAACTGCATTAAATTCAACTTTATCCAAGATGTGCTTTGTGAACAGTTCATACAAATGTGCGTCATACTAAAAACACATTTTAATAAACTCAATGAAACTTTATTATCAGACAAATGTCGTTACATGCAACAGATTTGATGGATATCTAGGCTGTTCATGGATTATTACTAAACTACGTTGTCGTTTTAGCTGTAGAAAATGAAAAAGTCCTCATTAATTGAAATACTTTGATATAACATATATTTGAATGTACATTAAATATCCGTGATATAGCGTCGATATCATGTCTACCAGTTGTGTCTATTGGATTAATTATTCGATACCGGAATCAAATAGACTGTTATTACATATTCAGCAAATTCAACGACCAAGTATACCCTGGTGTGGATCCTGCACATAACTGTATTTTATTGATAATCATTTTCGCGATCTCAAATCCCATTAAATGAACATTCCATGGAAAGTATATTTAAACAACAACAACATTGGTTACGTTAGTAATGAGTGATGGGTGTGTGGAGGACGCATTTATAGTGTAACCACACTGAAATGTCTTAACTTGTAAATAGTACCATAGTGTCGCATCCTGTCGCATTATACTGACCATAAAAAACATTTTAATGATATATTATTACAACTCAAAACAAAAACAAAATACTCATATTTTAGACGTACAATCTGAAGAAAGGTCTGGAGTGTCACACCACTAGATTTACATCGCATACTTGACAAAGTTCAGGTAACATTTTTTTTTTTTTAAAAAAACATATTTAATGACATGTTTTAAAGGCAAAAAATGGAAAGAAACATCGGAAATGTGTTATACCAGGCTGTTGTAATAGACTGAGAATTTCATTTTAATCATAGTCGAAACATAACACCCTAAATATAATTGATTGGCAGAATGTTCTCCAAAATATCACGTCACAAATATATGCATACGTATTTAACTGAAAACATCCGCAGTTAGCAATATTACTAGTATATCAATCAAAAGGAATCCTCCACCCATATTGTTGTAGTACTGTATATTTCACATGTCCTCTTTCATACCTACTGTTAAATTTAACTGTTTTATCTGTGTCTTCCTGTTATTTCAAAGACTTTTAAAAAATGATATGAATAACATACAAAATAGCATATTTTGTATCAATTTTTCAATTGCTTATCTTAATAAGGAATGATCGGAGCTTCCGACCACGAAATATCTACATATAGCAGCACCTACCTTTTTGCGCCTAGCGGAAACCATCTTTGTAAAGGCTACATCATAGAACCCTTTCCGACTGTCGCCCATACTTGAAGGTGGTGTGCTTCTCTATATCCCATTTACTGCTTAATATTCTCCTGTATAATACTTTGTACAAACAGATAATCCTTCCCTGTTAGTCCATTTTAAATAATGTATCAGGTGTACAGCTACCTTAGTATATATATTTATATACCAGTAAGATATCGTGATTGTGCTTGATGATCCAGACTGTAGCCGAATTCCAAAACGATAGATTCAGTCCTAACACGCTTTCTGTTACTTTAATTTCCTTGATATCGGTGCTTAGATGTTCTCTACCCTAACAACGAATGTACATCAATATTTAAAGTGCTCCTGCTATCCATACATTATAAGTCACCTCACGATTTATACTTCAAACCAATGGTATCACTTCAGAACTACCTCTACTTATATAGTATACACGAGTCACTTTACCTCTCCTGGTGTGTGATCATTTCTGATAAAACTGCAACCCATATAAATAACGAAATAGTACACTATTGTGGGGTATCACTTTTAAGTTAGAAGAATCAGAAGTATTGGTATCGTTTAAATAAAACCCTATATTATACTGAATTGAATTCCAAATTACTTAGGTATTATCTTTCATATGATATTCTGTTCATACGAACCACGATCTCTGAACGTATACCTGGTGCTTTTACCTATATTGTATTACATTATCTATAGTTTCAGAAAGTTAAATAAAGATTAAAAAATTAATGTCAAGGTACATATTCAAAGAAAATATTTATATATTCAATTCTATATAAAGTTTTTCAGTTCTTTAAATATCACATAAATCATTTGTTATAATGTACATTTACTTACTTCTGTATTGGAGCAAGCGTTCATGCCTCCACTTTTTTTTTTTTTTTTTTTGATAAGCCAATTCGTATTCAAACTATGAATTTGCAATAGAAAAAAAACATCCTCTTTAACGCATTATAGTTGACATTATAATATCATTGACAATTTTTTTAAAAAAAATCCTTGATAAGGTGTTTGTGATCTTGAATTGATTTAATAAGCTGACTGTAACAAGAAAATATATGTATTTGTAATTTCCATATCTAGCTCTTGTATTAATCATAACATTTTGATTTCATTAATACGCCCTCTATTTTCCTAGTGTAGAGCCAAGTCAACACATAAGCTGCAATAATCTTCTTTTTTTTTTAATATTAAAACTTCAAAAGCCACAAACATGTATAAAGTATTGACATACACCACACCGTCTTATGGCGACATATCAAATCAATATTCAAGTTGTCTTGGGACTTTTCCCCCAATGTAATAAGGAAT